CGGGGTATACACAGATGCGTGAGACAACTCAAATTACGTCGGGTGAGAAAGGGAAACCCCACAATATCACCCAGCCCTTTAAAGTGCCGAAAAAGACCGTAGAGGTCTACGTTACTTTGCAGCAATACTACGAACCACCTCTGAACAACACCAAAATAGGCCCTCGTGTAGAACTGCCAACAACACCAACCCCAAATCTGATACTGGGTTTAACCATATCCAAAAAAAAAAAATATATATATAAATAAAGTTCTGTTCAAACCCATATGGAAGCAGCTTAGCCCACACGCCACACCACAGGAGACGAATGTTTCCAACCCCCATGGTGCATCATTACTGCACTAGCTCCCCAAGGGGAGCATGTATATACTCAGTTTCTACCCCTATCCCCATCACCACTTCCAAGTTATGCATATCCCGGGTCGAGGTACACTCCACTACACACTATAGACTAATTGATACCCCTTCAGCAACCACACTGCTACAACAACCTGAAGATACAAACCATTAATGCGTGTGGCTTAAACACGCCGCACAAACGTCGTGTTCTCACGGACGCAGCTAGAAAAGAAAGAATAGATATACTTTGTGTTCAGGAAACACATTTCACGCACACTAAAATACCCAGGTTTGCACTAAGGGAATATCCCATCCAATATCACTCTACATACTCCACTAAATCCAGGGGAGCCTCAATACTAATACACAAATCGCTATCATATGAACTACTCCAAATCAAAAAGGACACCCAAGCCAGATACATCATACTTTATTGTATCATAAACGACATCAAATACACAATAGTCTCTGTATATAGTCCAAACACCAATCAGAGGAACTTCTTACACAAAGTTTTAACTAAAATTCCGAGCCCACAATTACAATATTTAATTCTATGTGGAGATCTAAACCATGTTCTGGATCCACGCCTGGACACAACGGTACTGAGAGACACCAGGAGACATGCTGCCCTGAAGCCGCACTGCAAAGCCCTAACAAAACTGATTATGGAATTTCATCTCTATGACTCATGGCGCACAATGCACCCAAACAATCGCGAATACACACACCACTCGAGAGTCCACAAGACTAGTTCACGTATTGACTTCATTCTAGTAACATCTTCTCACCGCAATCACAGAATGTAGAATCGGAGATATAACATGGTCAGACCATGCACCCACCTCATTGACACTACAAGACAAATTCCAGTTTCGGGGAGCCTCACCCTGGAAATTGAATGACACTATTTTATATAACCGCACTTTTAAAGACTCACTAGAAAAGGAAATAACCCTATACTTTACAACGAACTGCACACCCCAAACACAACCCCAGAACACATGGGTAGCACATAAAGCAGTAATTAGGGGACTCCTCATTAGTCGAGCGGCATATTTGAAGAAAACAGCACAACATGACTATACCTCGTTACTCAAATTACTCAGAGATCAAACACAAGTTCAGCTTATCTCCCCAACCCAGGAAGGACAGACCAAAATATACCAAACCACTAAAGCCATCAATGAGTTACTGTTTCAAAAGACTTCACATACGCTGAGTAAACTGAGAATGACGCACTATTCTCAGGGTAACAAAGCGGGGAAAGCATTAGCTTCATTATTAAGACAAAATCAGGCTCAGTCTAAAATACACCACATGATTAACTCCGCAGGTACTAAATTAACAAACCCTCAACACATCAATGACACCATGGCAGATTTTTATGCCGAGCTGTATAATCTAGGAAAAGACGACAAGACACACCAACCAACAAGCCAGGAAATCCAAGATTTCTTGGACCAAGCACATCTCCCCACGATTAGCCCAACACAACAAGTGGAGATCCAAAGGCCGATCACACGGATAGAAATAGAAAAAGCCATTGACTCTTTACCAAAAGGGAAATCACCAGGCCCAGATGGCTTCACGAATTGGTACTATAAATGCTTTAAATCCACTTTATCACCTCACCTAGCAGAATTGTACAACACAATCATAAAAACGGGCCACATACCACCCGAAATGTTAAAAGCCCATATAGCCACACTACCCAAACCGGGAAAACCGCCAAACAAACCACAAAATCTACGACCCATCTCTCTATTGAATACAGACACAAAACTTCTAGCAAAAATCTACGCAAACAGACTCTCCGCCATTATCCCCTCGGTGATTCATACAGACCAAGTAGGATTTGTAAAGGGTAGGCAGGGTTCGGACGGGACACGGAAACTGTTAAATCTGATGTCAATAGCACGTGGCTCGGGAAAACCCAGTGTATTCATTTCACTAGATGCTGAAAAAGCGTTTGACAGGGTGCACTGGGGGTTCCTGGAGTCAGTGCTACGAAAAAACAAAATTTCCCATCAGGTTTCCTGTCCCTACTGAAGGCATTATATTCAATCCCAACGGCCTGCGTAGCCAATAGTGGTTTCACATCAAGAGAATTCAGGATCACAAATGGATCGCGCCAGGGATGCCCACTGTCCCCTCTGTTATACATCCTAGTTCTAGAACCTCTAGTGCAACACATACGAGGTCATGCAGAAGTTAAAGGTATAAAAATAGGCAAAACAGAACACAAACTCACAATGTTTGCAGATGACATCATGCTATCCTTGAATCCCCAAACACATCACTCCCACACTTACATAACATCCTCACCAAATACAGTGCATGCTCATACTATAAACTAAATATCACAAAAACACAAGCGATGAGTATGCACATACCGACACAAACCTTACAAGACCTGAAAACAAATTATGACTATGAATGGCGCAAAGACCATTTAACATTCCTAGGAGTAGCCTTTACATCGACATCACATGCTTTGATGGCAGCTAACTATGTTAAACTTGTAAATACATTAAAGAATCAAATTGCAGGGTGGAGGGGCAAGTATATCTCCTGGCTAGGTCGCATAGCGGCTACAAAAATGATACTTTTACCTAAACTCCAGTACTTGTTCCGTACTCTACACATACACCTCCCAAAGATTTTCCTACGCGAAACACAAGCTGTGATTAACACATTCATATGGAACAACAAAAAACCGAGGGTGGCAGCAGCAGCATTATACAAACCCTTCAAGAAAGGGGGCACAGGGATACCACACCTTGAAACGTATTACTCGGCTTCGATCCTTAGTCCCCTCATCATAGCATCCCATCTCCAACAACCACCGGAATGGCTTGCCATAGAGGCAGCATATACAAAAGGCAATAATTTGACTACACTGGTCTGGATACCACGATGCATTAGACCCAAATATACGGGAATGCTACCAACCACCAAATTGTCTCTGTCTATATGGGACGCGCTTAGGACCAAACTAGGGTCCTCCCCTCATCCGTCCCCAGCTATGAAGCTCCAAGCCCTTACAATACTTATACCACAATTCAACGCCAAGGAATGGGCCAAGTATGGCATCACTTCCTTACACCAAATAGTAGATAACAACAAACTGATACCGTTTGCACACCTGCAGATTAAACATAAAATACCACAAACCATGAACTTCAGGTACTTACAGATAAAGTCATGGTTTCGCACACACTACCCACCAAATACCCCACTCAGACAAGACTGGCAACTAACGCCTCTTGAGCAATTATGTATACAAAACAAGCCTCCTACTAAACTAATATCCCAATTGTACAATACAATCATCCAAAGACTTTACACTGCAAAGCCCTCCTTTATCTCGAAATGGGAAATAGACCTCCAAAGGAAATTGGACGAATCTAATTGGGCTCGTATATTTACGGCAAATAGGAACTTAACACTATGCACCACACACATAGAAATGTCTAGAAAGTTACTATACCGCTGGCATCTGGTTCCGACCAAACTGAAACACATCAACCCTCATAACTCAGGGCAATGTTGGAGATGCGAAGAGCAGCCGGGCACTGTGTATCATATATGGTGGTCATGTCCAAGAATAACACCATTCTGGACTCAAATCTCGAAGTTAATAACAGAGTCCTCGAGAACGGTGATGCCCCCCCAACCCGAACAATACCTATTCCAACTATTCCCAAACAACATCACGAAAACTGTAAGGTATCTGATCACATACTCATTGCAGCGCTACAAATGATCAGCAGAAATTGGCTGGCATCACACACACCAACCCTAACGGAATGCACCCACATTATAGAAACCTCTAGACTATATGAAACCATGGTTAGGAAAACAAGGCCTACTCAAAAATTTTGGGTAGAAGCTTGGGAACTGTGGGACGCATACACTAGGAGAACAACCCCAAACATTGCAAATTAGGAAGAACAAAGGAGAACTCCAACAATCTCTGGGAATAAAGGTTGACTCATTAGTCTTGTCTACCTCGACCGAACCCCCCTCCTCCCCCCCCATCCAGGTTTTACCCACCTAACCCACAGCTCCTATGCAAAATCAAAATGTGCGAAGTGCAGCGGAACTCCAATAGCGATGGCATTTCTAGGACATAGGCTAATGAGTGTACCTGGCTGACACAAATGTATAACAAATAATTGACTTGTACGAACTATGTATGTCAAAGAATGTAATAATATGATGTAAATGACAATGTTATATACGCTGTATCTCTGCACTAACCTAAAAACTGCTAATAAAAAAAAAAAGAGGCAAATTCAGAGCATTTAACAAATGCTGGGCTTACTAAGTTATAAAGTCTTTAACTTGGCAGAGAGACAGACAGATAGACATATATATATATATATATATATATATATATGTAGAGACAAACATACATACATACATACATATACATAGAGAGACAGGCATGATAATAAAAAAATAAAAATAGATAAAGATATGATACCAATACCTGGAAAAGAGCAAAATTATAAAAAAGCTGTACATTAAGCAATTCCCTCCCTTCCCTATTTGCAACCCACCCAACGCAGTGCGCGTAATACTTAAAATTCGCATTAAAGAAGCACCAATTTTGGTAATGGGTATACGAGTAGCTGCTCAAAATATAACGCCCCATGCTAGAACCTCCATTGCTGAGATCAGATTGAGGGTAGTCAAGCTCCAAGTCTTCAGACACATCCAAGTAAGGCGTTGATTTCTATGTCATTGAGATGGCATAACGATGAATATAGGTAAAGCTATGTCAGAGCCTCAGTTATAACTGGGAAAAAACAGAATGTTCAAGCAGTTACAGCAGCAGTTATGTCTATGACATCACAGCATGACTTCACCTATTAGGATTTACCTGCTAAACATCACACGTCCTGAGGTTGAAGATTATCTTTATTAAAGGGACACTCTACTGTCCAAATACAAAATAAATTTTAATTACTGTTTAGCATTTATACTAACAATGAAAACATACATTAATTTAATGATGCATTTTTTAAAATTAGCGCTATATGTAAAAACACTTGCAAAAGCTGAAGTTCTCGTCTAAAGCCTTTGCAATCCCTCCCCTTCTAACCCCACCCAGACTTTCTGTGGCTGTCCAATCACAGACTTCTCAATGCAGCTCCATGTGTTTTAATAGTAGTCTGAGAAGTGACACCTTTTTTATCTGCATGCACCGTTAGAGTTATAGGGTACCCTGGGGTTCTGTAGGGTGCAGGGGGAAAGGATTGGATGAAGGTACGGGGTACTGGGGAGGGGCTGTGATGAAGGTATAGGGTGTGGGGGAGGTGCTGTGATAAAGTTTTAGGGTGCTGGGGAGGGGCTGTAATGAAGGTATGGGGTGCTAGGGAGGTGCTGTGATGAAGGTATGGGGTGCTTGGGATGAGCTGTGATGAAGGTATGGGGTGCGTGGGAGGAGCTGTGATGAAGGTATGGGGTGCGTGGGAGGAGCTGTGATGAAGGTATGGGGTGCGTGGGAGGAGCTGTGATGAAGGTATGGGGTGCTTCGGAGGTGCTATGATGTAGGTATGAGGTGCTGGCTGAGGAGCTGTGATGAAGTTATGGGGTGCTGGCTGAGGAGCTGTGATGAAGGTATGGGGTGCTGGCTGAGGAGCTGTGATGAAGGTATGGGGTGCGTGGGAGGAGCTGTGATAAAGGGAAGTGATGGTAAACCAATAGTAAACGTATTCGGTAGAATGATAGAGGACTTATAATGAAAGAGTGAAGGACAGGAAGGTGTAACTCCTAGAGTTAACGAATGCATGCTTATAGCGAAGGAGCTCCACTCTTCATATGATCTCTCAGTTTTATGTTAATGTTAAGTGCTACAGTTTTATTCTAAAGTCATGTATTTATCCTTTTTATGAATGTAAAAAAGAAAAGTACGAGGTCAGCTCTTCTTTAAGGCATAGTAAGGAAGAGATTGTTATTTTAAGATAAAGTTCAGGAGGGGGGGAAAAAAAAGTGCAAAGAACCGTAACTATTTGAATATAATATCAGTATTCATTGGAGAAAATTTCTGTTAACTTTTTTTCACAGCAAATCTTGCCAGTCGATCCTGGCCTGTGCATTGTTTTCAGAGAGTGAAAGCAGATCCCATAAACTCCTGTTCAGTGTTCACAGCATGATTCTTGTTTTTTTTTTATAAATGGAGTTATAGAAGCAATAGCTCAGGTGTCAATCAAAGACAGTTGTAAAGGAACTACCACAATAGATGGAGTTACTAACGTGTAAGCAGGCACAAATCATCATCACGTTTATTAACTCAAGTCCAGTGCCCCTGGAATGGATTATCAAAAATAATCTGGTACCATCTAAGGGCATGCGGATGCTAAAATCTGAACACTAATCACTATGTCTCAATATCTGAATTTTGACCATCAATTGAATGCACATGACTGTTCACTGGATATCAGCCTGTCCAGATAATATTAGATGGTAGTATTTCAAATCTGGATCACTGAAATACTGTACAAGTAGCCAACGAGCAAATTGTTAAATACATCCTCAGAAGTTCAAGAGCTAATATATTCATTTTATTTCCATATAATTAACATGCCCACTTAAACCGCTAGAATCTTGCAATAAGTGTCATGTTGAAATCTGATTGGAACCTTCAAGCAAGTCAATCAGATTACTCCTCATCTGATTGGCTGGACAGTAACCCCTTTCCTCTCCAATAACATTTATATTTGGGCAAACATTTGTTTTAAAGTGCCCATGCAACACAATATACTGTCTCCAGCACTGATTTTTATCCTGCAAAGAAACATTTGTTTAACAGTCTGTCTCCTTGCAGAATGACTGTAAATGGCAATCACTTTCCTCCTCCTTTGTGGGTCACACTTGGTGGGGTTTTAGTAGCATGTGAGGGAGAAGGTCTCTGAGCAAACATTATGCTGTACATGGATTTCTCAATGTTCTCTAATATTTTTGGCATATTTCTACTTACTTTATGCATGCATTATAAATGTTTATAGACTTTTTTTTAAAATATATAATAGGGCATATTCATTTTCCTGCATTGGCTCCTGAGAAATGCCAGTAAATGAGCTATTTACATAGAAGCAGAAATAACTTTTTTGCTCAAAATAAAGAGACTGAGCTCAAAATATTGCTACATTCCATACTGAACTGGATCAAATGTGCATTGCAAAGGGGATACCACCACACCACAACTGACGTCTTCCTGGTGGTATGGTGTTGGGTATGGGAGATGTTGCAGTCATTGTTCTGATACAGCCTGACACCATCACTCAGTGAACTCTTTTCAGCTGTGATGTTCCTATAACGGCTGTTAAAGTGGCAGCCGGTAGCTACCAGTAACGGTGGTTAATTCCTAAAATGTCCCAATGTTATTTTATAACGTACAACCTCATGGTCCTTTCTTAAGACTGTGCAGCAACAGCCAGTCACCACAGCACGCACGACTCTACCAGTCTCACAAATGCAAGTTCTACACTGCTAGCCAAGCCTAAGAAGGACTTGCTACTGCTGGCCTTGAGGGTCCATGGCACATTCACCCCAGCTAAATTTATACCCATTGGGGCTAAATTTTCAGTCGTCAATGGCTAGTGGGTGAGGATTTTCAGCCTTGTCATCACAATTCAGCACTCATCATTTCTGGTGAGATAGCCCAGTGGGCTAATGCATCATCAGTAGAATCAGTTCACCCCTTTGGGGTCGCAGGTTCCATTCCTGGCAGTGTGGACTCACCCTTTCATCATTCTGAGGTAGATAACATGAGTACCCTTAAAAATTAGGCAAAGGTAACATCCACAGGATGTACTTGGAAATCAGAGAATATCTGAATGTACCTTTCCTGGTTAAATACATTGTTGTTATTATTATTTAACACAGTAAAGGAGTTTAAGCATGCGTGGGATATGCATAAGGCTATCCTAACTATAAGATAAGGCCAGGGACTAATGAAAGCATTTAAAAAAAAAAAAAAATTAGGCAGACTAGATGGGCCGAGTGGTTATTATCTGCCGTCACATTGTATGTTTCTATCATAGTGTACATGCTGTTGCAGCTCAGTATAGCGTGCATGCCGTAAACCTTTACGAATACATACAAATTACATTACAGACTACACCTGTGAGAATGGTTTGATAACATTTTACGTGCCTTATTTATATTTTTTGTGCAGGATTCAATAATGCACATTTCCACTAAATTTCCTGAAAATCATGGTCACATAAGCAAATGAGCCTCATTAGCCAAGTCTTCATTCGTGCAAGTTTCATCACTGCCGCTACATACACAAAGTGTGCAGGAAAGGATCTAATCTCCGTGAGCGAATGTCTTTTCTCATTACCAAAATTTATATAATATTTTTAATGCAGATAAATAATTTTACAACACGCTGCACCCATCAGTGTTTTACTTACAGTATACCAGTACTTTCATGCTCATAATAATTTCAGCTCCTAGCCAATATAAATAAAAACTCATAACTTTTCTTTTTAAAAATAGAATAGCCATAGCCCATAAGCTAACTGTGATGGCTGTTGGGTTGTGGAAATAAAAAAAATTTCTAGCACCATAACCACAACATCCCACTGATGTGGAGAGTGCCAGATGTGCCCTGGCACACTCCCACAGTAATATGTATACCTTTGGTGAACTAAACACAGCCTGATAGATGGCTGAGCTCATTGGCAAAGAGCATTCAGCTGCCCACGCTTACCAGAGTGGATTTAACCAGAGAATTCAGAAACAGGCAGTGCTGACACAGATGCCTAAGGGAAACCCATGTTAATTGTCAAAATACTCTTCAATGGTTTGACAAATTACTCCGGGAGGATGCCAGGGCTTGTCATTTCATTGTCTCATTGTTTATTATGTCTGCAGAACCCATAATTTCCCCATAATACACAATTTTATTTAGATTATATTTTTGTACTATATGTATATATACACCCATACCATCATTTTGCCATTTTTTAACACAAAGTAAAAGCACACTGTAAAATGCCCATAACATTGCGCTTTTTCAAACGGTTAAAATAACAACCCTACATTTATTGGTCTTTTGAGTTAGGTAAAGCTGATAAAAGCAGAAAGTTTTTTTTTTGTTTTTTTTTTTAAATAACGAAGTGTTATTTTACCAATATTTCCTCTTATGCAAGGTCTAAACAGTTACACAAAAAATGTCTCAATGCATCGCTTTTGTTGCGTATTTATATTTTAGAAGAGTGTGACTTTTCGCTCGTCAAATATAATTTTTGTAACCTAGTTTTGAACTCTCTGAGAAACCTGGAAGGCAATTAAGACTGTTATACGAGAAAGGTGTTAAACCAATAAACATGTATCGGTTCACTAGTATGTATGCCGGTATCCACTGTTTATTGTGTGGTGGTCTCCACTGTTTAAACATTGAAGTATATTGGTTGAAAGACAAGCAAAGCTTTAGGGATTACAAGTCAGACTTCAGTATGTACATCTGAATGTGATTAAACTCCATTCCTTGAAGACTCTGCATGGCAGTCTACAGAGCATTCTAAGCGCTATTGGCTCATAGGGACTTATTGCATGAACAAAAATTGTAAGAACGATACGATTAACAGCAAATTCTAAACTAAATGTCTAGACAAGAGTATATAAAGTTGAATGCCTCCAAATATCTGTCTTTGTTCTCTTGATATAGAAAAAAAACGAATCGGATTTAGTAAGGCAGGCACACTCAATAGGTTAAATCAAAATTGATCTGCAAAAGTGAATACAAAAAGCAGGGTGCTCACGCAACGATCCTATTTCCCAATGGACCTAATTAAAAAAAAATTAAAAAAAAAAAAATCAGGATACAATCAATATAGAATCAGGAGCACAACCATTACGAACAAATAAACTATATTGTCTAAGTCAATGCATAAGGTATCCACAAACCGCATCAAAAGCAATGATAATAAAATAAACTATGCATCCAGAAAACAACATGTACATAAATCACATGTATTCATGCTAGCAAAGACAAAAAAAAACTAAAAAACAACGATACTATACATATTATTCAGCTCACAATAATACAATATGCAGTAGTGTATCCTGGTTTTGTGAGCTGAATAACATGTAGATTATCTTTTTTTTGTTGTTTTTGTCTTTGCTTGCATGAATACATGTGATTTATGTACATATGGTTTTCAGGATGCATAGCTCATGATCATTGCTTTTGATGCAGTTTATGGATAACTTGTACATTTGACTTGGACAAAGTTTGTTCTTAATGGTTGTGCTCCTCATTCTGTATGGTTATAGACAAAAATACTCAGACACACACACACACGTTGCTGCAGTTTGTAGATTTGCCTCAAAGATTGACAATAAAGCTCTGTATTGTTAGAAAACTGAAGTCTCAATAGCAAAATGCAGGCAAAAATAGAGCGGATCTTTAAGAAATCTACGACTCCTATGTAGTTACAGCTTGGATATTGGATACAAACTGCAATTCATGCAAATTTGGGCTGTTCGGGTGATCGGTCGAATTCCTGAACTCAGAGCTGAAATGAACCTGAATCACGACCGATGGCAAGAAAGTTGGTTTCGTAACTTAGGATTTTGCCAGTCGCGGCAAACATAAATAAATGAGGATGGACTATTAGGGGACAGCCACTGGAATGTTTATTTTATTCAATGATCAAGTGAGAGGTGAGCAATACAAGAGTAAAAAGGAGCAGCAGTTATATAAATACAAAAACTTTTTAAAATTTAATATAGAATATAGATCTTAATTATTTTTTTAATGCTCTTTTTCCTTCTATTGGTTACTTTTCTGAATTGATCTGTGATTTTTTTTTTTCTAAATATGTGGAGTTTAGAGTTGTCTTCATAACAAAATCATTTCTCCATCGAATTCATTCTGTAGCCTTTTTCTGAACAAGTACACAAATTCACTTTTCTTTAACCCCTTAAGGACCAAACTTCTGGAATAAAAGGGAATCGTGACATGTCACACATGTCATGTGTCCTTAAGGGGTTAAACTATATACACAACACCGAAACCAAGCTGCACAATACTAATAAAAAACTTCAGTGTATTGCCGTTCAGAAAAATTTACTCATCGAAGAAACAAAGAGACGTCAACATTTGTCACTGGATTGTCAGCAATACTGCCAAACAGCAGTAAAATAATTTTAGAGTGAGAGCAGTGTATTGGTGAAATGCATCACGAGAAGGGAGAGTTCGGAAGATGTGTGAGGCCTTTAAGACTGCACTGTAGATTTTTTTTTTTTTTTTTTTAGTGAAATGAATTCACACTTTCAAATTAACAGAAAATTAACTAAGTCTTCACAGTCACGAATGTGTTTTATCTACTTAAAAGTTTAAAGAGGCAATAAGAGATGAAGACGCTTTTACTTATAATATTCTTAGCAGGCTGCACTGAAATTACAAACAAAGGGCTGGCATTAATTTCTTGCAGAAGGGGAGAAATCTAATGGGTCATTTCTTTCCTTTCCTCCAAATGTCCCAAAGGCTTTTTAAGTCCAAACGGAAAAGATAGTTTCAAAACAACTTGTAAAACGGACTTTAATAAAAAAGAAAAACTCACAAATTGTGAAATTTATTTCTAGAGATAAATTTACATTGAATTTCAAACGTAATCAAAATAGCTCAAAAATCTGTAAGTTTGCTATACAACAATTTGACTACTATGGCCTTAAATTTAAAATACACTTTGAATTCTCACTTTAGTGAATTTTCAGGTTTTCTTTCTCCTCCCTACTCTATACTGCTTCTGTTCCTCTTATATGTTGAGGGGGGATTCCAAATGATTAATTTGTCTTCTCCAATGCTTACAAATTGTGGGTGTACTTATTTTTGAAACACTAGCAGTGTTATTCACTAATTCAAGGTTAATTAAAAGGAAATTTAAAAATGAAAATCAAAATATCCAAACTGGAAGATTTCTCTTAGCTTCCAGTTCATCTCCTTTGGCCTTAAATTTAAATTGCACTTTGAAATCACACTCCATTCTCACTCTCGTAAATACCTCTGTAGTAGTTGTATTACAGTTTTAATGATTTGTGTTACAGCTTTGTCTTTATCTTTTCTTGTAAACAAAAAAAGTTATATATGCAAAATAGGGTAACCAAAATAAATAAAATAAAACTGGAGACAAAACCCCAGTGAATAAATTGCAATTTTTATCACCTAGTTGTTTAGGAGAAAATAAGTATTTTTTAAATATCTCCCAAGACTAACTCTTATTCAGTCTTTATTTTAACATTTCCTTTTATCAACCATTTTATCAGACTATTCTTATTTCCTGTAAAAATCCAATACACTGAATGTTCAATCTGATTCATTATAGACTAAACCAGTGTTTCCCAATTGGTGGTTTTCAGCAAGAACAAAATTGGGGTTCCGTGGCCCTTATTGCTGCAAAGGAATCCGGTCAGCGCCACAGCCGATTAATTGTGCGACCGGGTCCCCGTAGTATGTGATGGTGGGAGGAAGTGACGGACGTACGATCATTTCTTCCCAGCTTCACACAGAAAATGCTGCGCTGGAGGGAGAGAGGCAGCAGCCGGCAGTAAGCAGCTCCCAGCCACACACACCAGCCTCAGCCATCAAGTCACCCTCCTGCAGACAACAGGTATGCTAACAGGAGGGTGACTGCAAATATAAAAAATAGTGTGTGTGTGTGTGTAGACTGTGTGTGTGTGTGTGTGTGTATGTATATATATCTGCGTGAAATCTGTGTCACTGTGTATTTGAGTGTTTGTAACTGTGTGTCACTGTGTGTATCTAAGTGTCACTGTGTTTACGAGATATTTAGCGGGCAATACCACAATCAGAATGAATCGGAAGTGTATCACAATGCATATCATAAACTTAACCCAGAAATACAGAGATGGAGCCATGTTTTAGAATGTAAAAATGTTTAATCAAATAACTGTAAGTTATTCAACCCTGGCAGCTTATCAATTCATGATACAAAGTTGGGTCCCCATACTATTTCAGCTGGTACCCCCAATGATAAGACCAGGTACAGCATATGGATTAGGTCACAGGAAACGATACACAGTTAACTGGTTAATTTACGGACACAGTGCCTTTTCCAAGAGCACTGAAGAGGCTTGGCCAATATTAGGCTTTTTTTTGTGGCGTTTTAAATTGTATACGAATTTAATAATGGTTTGGTGACCTTTTATGACATTCTAACACTAGTTCAGGGTCATGTATGTAAAATTAGGGCCTTTGTCAATAAAAGGTTTAAAAAGAACCACTGATCTAGAGATGAAAAAAAAAAAAAAGGTTTTCATTCAACAGATATTGTGAAAACCTTTGCAGGATACAGTCCTCAAGGACATAAACAAAAAAAAAAATATATATATATATATATTTTTTTTCCTGTTCAACAAAACTGCATTACCAGATATAGTAAAAACATATTTGAGAGACTCTTTTGCAAACTCTAATGCAACAAAATTGATTTAAAAATAAAAAATGACTTGCTGTGATTTGATATACTGTACACATATTTTCAGGACACCAGTGTGCAGTGGGAAATAATAAGAAGTCGTCCCTTGAGGGACACTGGATTTTATATTGTGCTCGACTTTGACACCGTGATACATATCCAGTTATTATATATCAAGATAGGACACATTCAAATTTTCAGCACATCCCATACATTAACCCACAGAAGTGAAACCACTCTGCAGTCACAATACAGGATCCATCATATGAATGGAAATTAAATGGACACGACGGTTATAATTCTATACTTAAAGGGAAGACAAAAACAACAATTATCTGTGGATTCCTATAGAACAAGCGCAAACAGTGTTGATAAAACAAAATATTAATTTTACAATATTGAAGTGCATTGATTAGGATATAAAGTCAGATCATTAACAAAATGCTGCTAAAAAATCCAATGGTCTTTTAGCTAAGCATTGTTAATAGACCATTTTACAAAAAGTATTAACTTAGTCAGTCATTTTCAAATCCCACCATATGAAATTCCAAGGTGACTGTGTACCCCCCAAAACAGTGACAAACTAGAATTACTAATAATAAAAACCAGCAACAAATTAACCAGTTGTAATGTACAAAAAAAAATTAAAATAAAGATTGCCATGCTGTCCTAAAAGTATTGAATCAGTAAATTGTTAATGCCAAAAGAAACGAAATTCATGAAGGTCATACCTTTACTTCTAAAAATGTATCTTAACACTGACTTAACCTTTTTTGAAATAAGACTAATAGGCTACATTGTAGTTTTCTTTTTTTTTTTTAAATGGATTTGCATCTTTTTTGGGGGGTTTCAAGAATGATGAAATGTATTAGTAAAAGGAAGTAAAAACACAGCAATCATACAATAAAATAGAGCGTACTCATAAAAACTATGGTCAATATACACAGTTATAGATACTGCAATGCAGGTAAATAAAAAAGTCAAAGATGCAAACGTTAACTCAAGCACTGTAAGTAAACAGATGGATGTACATCTCAATGTCTGCCTAACTGGAATCAAACTCCTGCAGTGTGGAACCAATTTAAACTAAAATTCCTTTTGAATTTCTCAGTTTCTATAGTTTGCCAAGTCACACTGCAGGTTCCAAAAAATAAAATTAGAGTTTTCTCCTACATGTTCACATTAGAATTCTATGTTGAAAGGATTCCTTAACACAACGGTATTTCTTTCCACATTGGATACCACAATCCCTCATCAGAGTTCCATTCCTGACGATGTACGTGCATCTTGTAAAATGTATAGAAATATTCATATAGCACACATGTAGGTGACACTTTGCAGGGATTACTGTTCTGCAGTTTTTGAAATAGTTTCTTTCTTTATGGAGTCCTCTTTCTCTCTAATCTGACTTCTCAGTTCTTCAATTGTGTCAAGTAAGGCTGATCGTTCCAGTTCTAATGTACGCAGAGATTGCTTTAACTTGGCCTCGTTGCCTTGTAAGTTCTCTATAGTAGATTCTAGATTTTGAATTCTTCCATGGGATACCTACAGGTTTATAAATAATAAAAAAAAAATCTTAATCAAAACTATATAGTCAAAATATCAAGATTATATTCAATACAAAAATGACAATCTGAAATAAATAAATATATATATATTTTTTTTTTTAAAACAAAAGTGAGAATTGAAAGTGAATTTCAAACTTAAACAAACACTATTAGGAATATATTTGTACATATCTATCTATGCTAGTGTCCCTTTCCCCTTGTGAGGACTCAAAGGGTGAGTTTTACTTACCTTTCAGCCCTCGCCATACCGGTGGGGAAAGCTCTGACTCCTCTGTCATAGTGACAGCCACTTGAGGCATTTAAATGCTGCACATAGGCAATGTTTTTACTTTAAAGGACCACTATAGGGTCAGGAACACAAACAACGTGTATAGTGTTAAAACCATGGAGACTATAGTGTCCCTTTAAGGGTTAAAACCTGACTGACTTGGCATCCAGACCACTTCATTGATAGTCTGTTTAAGGCCAAAGTAGCAAACTGAAAATCTGGCACACAAATAATCTTTCCAATTTGGCTATTTTGACCATACATCCGAAATTCACGTGCTCACTTCAGTTAATAGCTCAGACACTTATTTAAATATTGAAGAGTTGGGTTGGTATTTAAAAGAGATGCATGAAGTAAAAAAAATAAAAATAAAAAAAAATAAAGAGGAGAGGGAGATGAATATCAGAAAGAAAAGGTAAAGATAAAAGACAGACCTAATCATTGCCACATCTATAGAAAATAGAGAAAGATGTGCATAATGACGCTAGGTCTTTATAGTAAAAAAGAAGAAAACAAACAAGAAAAAAAAAAACGCACAATAATAAAATAAATATATATATTTAAAAAAAGGATTTATCAAAGTCAACTTAATAGGTTAAAAAAAATAAAAAAACTTTTTTAAATGTGCATCATATTTAGTGATTTTAACAGTGAGGCCAAATATTATCAGAATTTACACAACAGGCTGTTCTATGTTTATGCTACTAGCAAACAGATTACGGTTTGACATAAAAAGAAAACAAAAAAACAACAAGATCCCACAGCAGTTCTGCTTTTTAGGCTAGGCCCGCTGTCTCCTGGGAAAATGCTACTGAAGTCAATGTCAAAGACGGGACAAGGAAGGTTAAGTGAAAAGAGGAAAACACAAAAACAGGAAATGGATTTTATGCAATTAGAATATGTATTTATTTACAATGCATTGTTGTTATTTGAGGGATATTCACTAGAATCATAATTGTCATAAATTAAAAGTTAATTTGAAACTGAACGCCATAGAAACCAAAGTAGAAAAATCCTCATGGTCCAGTAGGTTATACTTTGGTCTTAAATGTGAAATTCACTTTAAAATCCCCACAATTCCCATGAATGTGTACTGGCATTATTTTAACACAAACACTGACTATTAAAACGTTGTTTACATCCATCTTTTGAATTACATGCTTTATATAAAAGTGCTTCTGATGTCTCATTTCATGGATGTTGATATTTTTTCTCGGAGCTCTGTTTATCTCTCTGAAATCGTACTTTACCTAGTACTGTAAACAATAGTGGGCAGCGTCATGTATACACGTAAGGTTTGCTGCACACAGAGCTGTGAGTCAATATGTACTCAGTTCTTTCGTAATGTTTATCAAAAGTTAACCATGAGATGATGAACTTTAAACTAGGAGTAGTTTGCCCAATCATTTTGCAAATGACATACTTCTACCGCAGCAATAATCATATTTATATTAAGAAATGTTTTTGTTCTTTTGTCTCAAATTGTCTGGATTGATAATTTAATTTTTTTTTTATTTTTTATTATTCCCTTTTCCTTGCCACACCATTGTCTTTGGTATACAAAATACAAATTCAAGAAGTGTACAAGTGTACATTTTCCCCACGATTTCTACAAGTATGTTCATTAACTTATACTCCAAATAAGGTTATGTATTTGTACA